AGACAAAAACAAATCAGAAGAATTCAAGAAATTTCTACACGCAAGTTAAATACTTTGATTCCAATGTTTGCTTGACTCGTAACAGACGAATATGGGCGGATAAGTACAAGGCCGAGAAAGCAGTAAAAGAAATTCGGACTCCGACGTAACTGAGCCTTGTAGAAACAACTTTGATTATATCGTACAAAAGTACAAAAAAAGAAAACTTACTAGCATTCCTAAATTCCTAAAATAATACAAAAATCAAATAAAAGAGGCATATGTACATTGAAGAAAAATTCCCTTAGCTTAACCAAAGATATAGATTTTATTTGCTGGTCATCAATTTTACTAGTTCATATGGCGCATGTTGTCACAGATTCTGATGCTTGTAAAAAGCATTTTAATGCACCGATAAACGCGTAGCCCCGTCCTTATGTGTATGGTAAATAGATGCCGCTATTCGAGAAGTAATCAAATTTGACACATTTTAAGCTGCACAAATTGTGCAATTTGAACTTGAGAAGTGCACACAAATTTTTCTAATCCCCAACGAATTCCGCAAAAATTGATATAAATTAAAATTTCACATTTTTTATAGGAAATATTTTATTATTTTTAGGTACAAAACATTTCAACGGGGCAGTTTCGATAGAGGTTGCGAGCTTAAAAGCATTTAAATCTGTGTAATATCTAATAATTTTTTACATTTATTTTCAATGTGGATCTCCTTTTACTGGAGGCAGCGGCTACCAAAATTTACTTCTAAGAGAAACGTTCTCATGCCGCATGTGAAAGCCGGAGTGGCATGCCACACCGTTAATCAATATCTTTCCAGATGTGTAGTTCGAAGTTGTGCTTTTAATATGTGTGGTTAATAAATCATTAGACCCAAATCAAAATTAATTGAAAACTAGCAACTCTTTTTCTTAATAACCTGGCCAAATTAATGATTCTGGCTGCAAAGGTATTCCGCTTGGAAAATTTGCAAATTTGCGCAAGAGCTAACGAACCAACAATTAATTTCATTAGATTAATTACCAAATGTTACTTCATAAAAATTGTTTAAAATTCTTTTATGTGCAAATGGCTAAGAATTATTTAATTTCATGTGCTTTAAAAATAATTATTACTGAAATAAATCAGTAATTGCTGATGCTGCAAGTTTTCTCAAGAATTTGGAATTTTTGAATAAATGTCCAATTTGAGTTCGGGAGAATTCAATAAATTTAATCGTATACTCAACTCTAAATGTAGCTGTGATATTAAATTATTAATGACATTAATTATTATTTTTGTTTGTATTTCTCTCAATATTCTATCGGCAGAATACTTTCTGCAGTACATATACTGCATCGACCGAATTCCAAACATTCCGAATTAAACGTATGAAATGTAATCCTTAGTTATGAATGAATGAAAATAAATTAAATGTGTTAAAAGTCAAAAATTCTTATTATTTCAAGTTGGTTAGTGCCAGGTTATGTAGAGTGTCTCGGGCACGGCAAAATAGGCTCTTTCGGGGTATGCCGAAAATGCATGTTATATAGTCTGTCACATCAGTATTGCCAATTTCATATTTTAACAATATAAAACTTTTTGTAGATGGGCTCACTTTCAATTTGTCACCAAAAACAACCAGCAAGAAAAAACTCATAGAGGCTGTAATAACGTTAATTTATTATTATATTATCTTATAATAATTATTCACAGTACTTACAAAATTATACACCTTTCCCTAAAATCCTTTGTAATTCAGACACCCCACTAATTTTTATATGCTACATAGTTTATTACAAATCTAGTCTAAAACAATGCATAGTGTTTATTAGTTTAATCTTGTGTTCTTGAATATCAATTTCAAAGATACATTTTTTGAGACAAAAACGTTTGGTGAAATTGTCGTATGGATGTTGATATAATCCCTTTGGACTTCCGGTACGATATCGAAACTTAATATGGAGAATTAATTTTAGTTTAGAGAATAGCTAGAAGACATACTAAGCTAAATCAGATAAGTTCGGAGACATCCTTTCATGCTAGAAGTATCACAGCTGTTTTGGTCTAGAATATACATACTTTTATTAGTTTATGCGATAATGTATTTCTGTGTAACAAAAACCAACCGCATTGTTTTTGATACTCTAGTTAAATTCGTTAAATTCTTTCACCCAACTGAGATTACTTCACTCTAAACAAACTCCATTAAGTCGAAGAAAACTATTAGCATTTTGTTGATCTCACTCTTTTGAACACGTAATAGAACTTCAAATAATTATTTAGATTTCTTCAAAATTTTGTACATGGCGATAGATTTTTACCGAAAGTGTTAGGTCAACATCTTAATGCTCTTCGCGACCGTCATATAGTCACCCAAACCCACAAGAAAGTTTTTTAGAGTTTCCTAAGTGTTTATATCACTTTTACCCAATTGTTTTGAGATCGTTGTAAATATACTTACATTACAGTAATCGTCAAGACATAATGAAATGTTCAGCGAATTATAGCATTGAAAGTGCGACGTCTCCTCTGTTCGAACGGTGACATTCTACAGATACTAACTAGTTAGAAGTATAACGTTGGAAGACCTTCGTAAGCATTTAATCTGAATAAATTGCATTTTCCGTTAATTCACCACGTATTCTTTTAGCTTAATTTATGCGATATCTGGAGTTATGAGCTGTCCCTTAAAAGTGCCTTTAAATTTTTATATTTCATTGTATATATCATATATTTCAAAATAAAAATAATTACATTTTTAAAGTGCATGTTATTGTCAAAAATTTATTTTTGATTTTGAATAAATAATTGTAATTTTATTTAAATATTTGAGTTTAGAACTGAAATATAAAGACTGCCGCTGAAATTGTGTTTAAGATTATGTTAATTTAATGTTTTCCATTAACATTAACCTGTTAACTGTTTCTGCTCTGTTATATGCAAAAAAAAAAAACAAAACATAAAAATGTAAGCAGATAACTTTCTGTCATAATTTTATCTGGAAAATTTTATCTAAAGGAAATTTTAAAATTTCTTTATATAATTATACAACAGCAAAAGCAGACTAAACAGTAACAAATGACTTAACAGTGGCGACAACAGTCAACAACTGCCAACAGAGCCAATGTTAAACGCTCACTGCCAAGCTCAGTTTGTCTGTTTGGTTGTGTTTTGAGTTTGATCACGAACCGTGAACATCGGTCAATGCACGTTGTTGGTGCCCGTATGTAAACCAATTATTAAAAACTGTTGTACATGGCGTAGATCAAGATTCTCAGATAACTTTAATGGTGCTTTAAAGTAGCTTTGTCAGATTAAAACGAGCATTTACTTAAAAAAGCATTTTGAAAATTATATCAACTAATCAGAAGTGGAAACAGAAGTGTGAAGTAAATAATTACATCATTAAAAATGGGTTAAAAAATATTAAATTTTTTTAAAAATATAATTTAATTCATTGCTTTTGTCTCTTTTATTTAATTATATATTCAGTTGATTCTTTGCCAATCTTTGATTTTTGTGAGAAGTACGAATTGGGGTTAATTTAAAAGAGCTATTATATGTTATATGGTCGAAAAACAATTTTTTAAAATTTGATAATTTATTATTAAATTACTCACACAATCTGTTCATAGCCAAATTCAGGTAGGTATAACCATTCAGGCTTAGCACTTCTATTAAATTCGCTCTTTTAGTTTGTCTTAGCGAACGCTCAGTTTGCGTAGTTTTTCATATTTTTACCCACAACTCAGTGAATTGATATTGCGCTAGTCAGTGTTGCGCCTTTTGGCTGCAGCCTCTTCTGGTATTCGTATTCGTCGAGGAGTTGAGAGAAGTAAATCATCACAGCCGCTACCAAAGCTGTAAAGTACCTTAACTAAAGACTCATTTTCCTTACATTACAGTTGCGATTATGATCTTCATCATGATCATGCAATAATGCTTTTCCTACACTTGATTATCTCTGCGTTCTATGTTGCTCACACAGCTCTTCGTGTGTCGAGGCTGTGTAGCTGTGTGGCTGTGTGGCTGTGACCATGGCCGTGGCCGTGGCACTTCAAGTTTATTTCGAAGCAGTAAAATTTCACCACAACAGAGCCGATACATTCGCACAAATACTTGCAGCAATCGCTCAGTTTGTGAAGCGAAGAAGATATTCCACATCTTCAACTTCTTTCGTGTGGCGAAAGAAGTCTTCTAACTTATATAACAACTCATTACCTTGACAATATTTTAGTTCTGCGGCGACCTTAGAATGGTCAAGTTCGTTTCTGGGTGCTTCTAAGAAAATTTGCTGATCGTTTTCTGGTTTATTTGTTGCAGTATTGAATAAAAAAATTCTAAGACTAAAAATTCAATACTAAGAATTATGCAAAAATTTGCAAAAAATTATTGAAACTTTGAAAGTACATAGCAATAGTAAAAGTGCAGTGGCAGTGAGTGTTTCTAGATGCAAATATTTTGCGAATTACTTCATTTTAAAAACGCAAGAAGTCTAAATAATATTTCAAGTAAATTTTTTTTAAAATTTGCATAAATAAATATTGAAACTAAACTGAACTGAACAACAATCTGAAAAGGTAAGTTTGATTTGCACCAATTCCTAAACGATTTTAATTTATTTCTACAACTGAGCTTTAAATTAAAGTAAAGTCAATATAAAATGTTATATGAAAAATTCTGCATTTTTAAAGAAAAATGTAAGTTCCTTTTGAATGCACATTAAGGCAGTATTTTTTTTATTAAAGTTGAACCTAATGAAGTTGTATGATAATTCTGTTCTGTGGTCGAGAGTCTTCGCGCGGTTATTATAGCACATAAAACCCGGTAGATAATGGTGCAAGTTTCATTTTATTTGGTTTTTTTTCGTTATGATTTGAAGGTACTGAAATTGCTTCTAAAATTAAAATTTTA